GGGGTGTACTCATAGTCGTGCTTGTCGTAGTCGTTAGACCATTGACCTCGCATCCCTACAAAGCCGGGACGGAGCACGCCGGGTTCTCACCGGACCAGGCTCTCACATCACCAAGCGCGAAGCGCCGTGAGATATTCGGCGAGTCGCATGAAGGGTGCGCTGCATCCTGCTAAGGGTGTTCGGCATCTTGTGCTTACTTCCTTGCGTACGGATGACAGCTGCGTATGACTTAATTAATGTTCTGGTGCTTTCACTTGCTGAGAAAATTGTAAGCACTGTTAGCCCTGCGCCTGACCCCCCTTTTTGGTGTATGCGCGTGGTCGGGCTGTTGGTCGAGAAACCACACAAATAAAGTTTTTCCGCTTTTCAGGTCGCCGGCGCCGAATCTTGTTTTGACTTGATATTAAAGAGCGAGAGAAGAACGCGAAATACTCGATGCCACAAACGAGCTGACTCTTGCGGTTCAGTACACACCGGTGAACAGGACATATCTATGGATTCATCGGTCAGTTTTTCAATCGGCGGGTTCTAACCCATCGAAAACTCTAAAATCAAGTGATTTTCGGCCCTTTTCGCCTGCTGCCACGAACGTGAGCAACTTCNACTCTTGCGGTTCAGTACACACCGGTGAACAGGACATATCTATGGATTCATCGGTCAGTTTTTCAATCGGCGGGTTCTAACCCATCGAAAACTCTAAAATCAAGTGATTTTCGGCCCTTTTCGCCTGCTGCCACGAACGTGAGCAACTTCAACGCAAATCGCCACCGATGAAATCGTAGCTCTCCTTCTCAGCAAGGTGACGCAAAAAGCCATGCCAGAATCCAGGTGTCATCGTCGCGCAAAACGAATCACCAGATCGGGTACTAATCGGGTACTCATGGGTACGTCTGGGAAGAAAAAATCGCCAAACTCGAGGAAAAAACGAAAGCAAAAGTTCTCGAGACAAAACGAGATATGTGTCGAAAAACATGGTATGACGATGGAGGCCAGGGCGTCGCAAGCAAGGTTCGACGGGCTGGTGAGGAGGGCAGACGTCAAGGAGTTGACACGGAGCCGCGACGCCGCAACGGCGAAAGCTGACGCCGCCCGCGTACAAAAGAACAAGGCGAACGCGGCAAAGAGAAAGGCGGAGAGAGTAGCAGCAGAAGAAAAAGAAGCAGCAGCAGCAGAAAAAGTTGAAGCAAGCAGGCAGCGAGAGCTACGCCAGGTAGAAGCACAAGCTGATAGGGGGCGGGGTGGTAGGTATTCGTCTTAGGTTCGTGGGCGCGGGCGGAGGTAAAGCGAGCGCGGTGGTGGCCGGAGCACCTGGGATGATGTGCGGGAGTTTTTGTTTTTTTTGTGCGTGTGTGATTCTTGCTGCTGCTGCTGCTGCTGCTGCTGCTGCTGCTGCTGCTGCTGCTGCATTTTTTCGGTGAAATGATTTTTGTGCCACGGCACAAAGGCTGTACCGCCGGCGCTACTACAGATCTTTCTGTCGTTGCTGCGCCATCAGTAGCTCTGGCTTATGTACTTGCTGCGCAGTACCTCTTCGGCCTTAGGCAGGCGAGGAAAGGTTGCCAAGCGTGGGCAGTTTCTCTTTGATGTTGTGTTGTGTCAAATCAACTTCTTTTTTTTTCGTGTTGAATAGAAAGGTATGCCTGCCATCATCCATCATCTTCGGCGTTTCTTTCGTCATCGCCTACATTTGTGTCACGGCGCAAAGGCTGTACCGCCGGCGGTACTGCAGCTCTTTCTATCGTTACTGCGCCATCAGTAGCTCTGGCTTATACACGTGCTGCGCAATACCTCTTCGACCTCGTGCAGGGGAGGAAAGGTCGCGAGCGGGGGCAGTGCCTTTTGGGTGGTGTTGCATTGTTTCAAACGACGTTTTTTTTTCGTGTTGATTCAAAATACATCTGCCTTCATCCATCGCGGATTCTTTATCACATCTCATCGTCATGCTCCCCGCTCAGCTCGTCGGACAGACCACTCTCAGACTCCGACTCCGACACAACATCGTCGATCACGCTCCTAACCTGCCACTCGGGGCCATGATTTGTGGCGCCGGTCAGCAGTGAGGTGGTCGCAGGTCTAGTTTGATCACGAGGGAGCACACGCATCAACCCCACCGCCGTGTGCTGTCCGTGTATGTGTTGTTGTTCGCGCGCATCCACGCCCGCTCAAACAATTTCAAAAAATACAAGCCATCGCAGCACATGTTCAGTCTGTTCGTCCTGGAAATGGACGCCGCTGTCAAAATTAGTCGGCTTTGATTGGCTTGGCAACAAAAAAAAAGAGAAAAAAGTCTATTCGAAAGAACCTCCGCGTGACAGAATTTGGGCTCAAAAACAGGGTCAGGCGCAGGGCTTACTGTGTAACTGCCTCGAGGGTGCTTGACCATTTTAACACAACGTGGTGGGATCATCCCCCTTGCGCGGATTGAGGGTTCTCGACCCCGCACAACATGATGTACTCGACCACCGCTATGGTTACCGCCAAAAAAAAAACGGAGCTAAAAAAAAAAAAACGGTAACCTGGTTGCCGAGTTCACGAAGTGAATTGGCTTGTTTTACAACGTCGTTGCCAAGCGACGAAAACCCAACCCCGATGGCAAACACCGGGGGGGGTTGGGGAGGGGAAGGATTTTGAGGTGATGACGGACGGTTGTCCGTTCTCCAATTGAATAGGCAAATAAGTTGTGAGGGGCTGTTCGTCGACTTGTTTGGCGGGAAAATTTCGTTTGTATGGCTTGAGAAGAAACAAGTCCCGGTCCACCCGTAGCGTGTGGTCGTTATGGTTGGAGTGGAAAGAAATCGGCTCGAGTTATCCCGTCCACTCCCATCATTTGGACAAGTTCCTAGGTACGGCGGCAACGTTTGCAGCGCCCGGGGAGTCGACAGTAGCGGGTCCGGCGTTCCTCGCCAAAGGTAGCGGGGTCGATGTCCCACCAAGCACAGAAAGCAACGAACTGAATGCGTCCTTTTATTTTTTTCCATTCCACCCCCCCGTTCTCTCGTCTCCCGTTCCAACTATTTACCAGAGCGCTCCAAGCACAAGGAAACCCGCAAGTGAGGGAGTCCACCAAGCAGGCCATGGACGTCCAGGAGGCCGCCCTTAAGGCTGTTGCGGACGATGCGTTTCACCGTGCGATCGACGGGAAGACGAGGGAGCTGGCGATCCTGCCGCGAGTCTGCTGGCTCGTTGTGAGGGGCACGGCAGTGCGGGTCAAGGTCAACGCGCTGCTTTGCCTCTCCAAGACGTTTCACTTCCTCGTGGTTCGGGCCGTCGTGGACAAGGTTAGGAGCGCTTCTTGTTTTGCGTGTTCTCTCTGCTGTCGTGGGGACTTTTGTGTTGCAACAGCCGTGTACCTTGAATGTTGGTGTTTTCGCAGCCTTGGACCAATAGCAGCATCTGATTGGCCACTTGAGCTCTTCTTGCTCTTGAAACAGCCTGAGGCATGGATGTGACTTACAGATATACGTGTATCCCCAACTAGCCAGGACGATATTGGAGGGGCAAGGGGCGCACTGCGGCATTGTTTGGTGTTGATAGGTACAAACGTATTTGGAAACATCCTTATCTGCATTTTTTATTCTCGGTGCGTTTGTTCGGACAACCGACGTGTACGTTGTTAGGCGATGGTAATGTCCCTACGCAGGTTTTGTGATGTCGTTCCTTGCTGGATGTGAGCTTGCAACGTTTCCTGCAGATATGACACCACCCCCCGACTTGATTTGTTGCGCGTCACGTTGTCACTCGCTTCTCTCCGCTGTTCGGACTCCAGGTCCTGCCGACGCTCAAGTTCTGCGCGGAACGCGACGAGACTGTTGCGATCCAGCTGTGCGTGCTGGGGTGCTACGACGCCATCGCGAAGCGCTTGGAGAAGCTCGGCCCGGTGGCCACGCACATCCTGCCGGCGTGCACGCCGATGCTCGCGTGCAAGGGGCTAAACTCCAACCAGTTCGAGATGGCTGTGGGGATCGTCCAGGGCATGCTCGAGACGGTAATCAAGTACCGGCGGGAACAGATCGCCAACCCCAGCGCCACGGCCATCATCGAGAACCGGCCGACCCACCCCGGCGGAGAACCGGACGAGGCGGAGATAGCGAGGCAGCGAGCGATCGTTCTGGGCGGTTGGAAAGAAGCGCCGCCTGCCTCTTCGAAGCCGGCGGCGGCGCCGGCGGCGGCTTCAAGGCCCCTCTCTCCAGTGTCGGCATCGTTCCCGGGGTCGGCGCCAGCACCGGCGCCGTCCTCCTCCTCCGGGGGCGGCGGCTTCGACATGGCGGATATGTGGGCGGCCCCCCCCGCCTCGTCGTCGGGCTCGGCGGGTGCTCAGTCGGGGGCATTCTCGGGGGACTTGTCCCCCGTGAGCAACAGCACCGCCATGCCGATTGCGGTCTCTGGTCGGAGCGGCGGCGGTGGAGGGAGGGGGGGGAGCAAATTGTCGGGGTATGGGTCTGCGTCGTCCGCGGCGGACATGTTCCAGGGCCTGTCCGTTTCGGAGCAGAGTAAGGGGCCGGCGACGAACGGAATGGCTGGCGGGTCTTCGGACCCGTTCGCTTCGGCGGGTCTCGGCGGTGCTTTCGGGGCCGCGGCGACCGGCAACGCCGCTACCGCAGGCGGCGGGATGTCTTGGATGAACGGGTCGTTTGGAGGAACAGGGGGTGCCACCAATAGCGGTAGCGGTGGGGGAATCTCGAACCAATCACCCGGGTTGGGTGGCTTATCCGGGCTAGGAGGTGCTGCTCCTGGCAGAGCGAAGGCCGCCAGGTCGATGGGAATTTCGCCTCCCCCGAAGCCAAGTGCGAGCTTCTCGTCGCCGCCACCGGCGAGTGGAGGAGGGGCTCCTGCGGGCGACCCGTTCGCCGCCTTCTTTGACGCCGCGGTTGCGGGGGGCCCCGGGGGGGGTGCTGCGAACAGCCCGCAGCAAGTGGCCCCTCCGTCTCTCGGTATGATGGGGGCGGCGAGTGGGGCTCCCCCAGCCTTTTTGGGCGGGGTCGGAGCAGGACCGGCTTCAGCTACCACCAGCGGTAATGGCGGCGGCGGGTCTCTTGAAGACCAACTCGCGGAGACACAGCGGGAGATCGCGCAATTGACACGCGAGCTCGGCAGCGCGGGAAACGGCATGATGGCCGGCTTGGCCGCGGGCGGCGGGATGGCGGCCGCTGTGGGAGGAGGGGCAGGCGGGGTCGGGTGGCCAATGCCGGGTGCGCCTGCGCCTGCAGGGGGCATGGGGATGCCGGCCTGGCCTGGCGGTGGTGCGCCAAGCCAGAAGCAGCCACCTGCTGCTGCGCAGCAAGGGCAGCAGCATGCGAATTCCACCGACCCGTTCGCGTTCTTGGGGGAGGGCGGTCAGCAGGGAGGGAAGGGGAGCGGTTTTGACTTTTTCTCATGATGATCCTAGATGCCAACTGGTAAACACTGCGTGCTTTTGGTTCACCGTGTCTCCTGCCTTCGTTTGTGGAACTGCGCGGCACGTTTGCGCGGGACATCAAATTTGTTCTGCTGGTGATGCTGGCGGGGGGTAAATGCCACTCAGTGGTTTTGATGAAATCCCACGCGTTGGCGTGTCGTTCCTGCTGCTGGGGGGTGTTGCAAGCGTTGTTCTGTCAATTGTTCTGTCAATACATGTATTCGTACCACCACGTGGCCTGTGCTGTGCTGTGCGTAGTTGAGATTGTCTCAAAAATGGATTGGTTTTGCCATGTTGTCCGTCAGTACCCCCGGCCTTGACAGCAGGGGCGATGATGATCTTGTGTGACGAAATTTTGAAAACCCGTTTATTGCCCCCGTGAGCAATTCCCGTGTGTTTCCTCCTCTTTCCTTGTGGCTATCTCCTTCACCCGATCACCTTTGCCCCCTCAAGCAATTTCCATGGATTTCCTCACCTTGCCTTCACTCGATCACCGCTCGCGAAGGGAGATGCAATCTCGCCTGCTCTCATCATTGGCGGTGACTCAACACCCCGTTGCTTCATGCTCATGAGGTTCTGATGCGGTGCTTGCCGTCGGATACGTAAAAGCCTCAAGTCAACGCGTCTTTTTTCGCAGCACAGGTGTACCATATGTTTAGCACCTCTTCGACCGCCTAGTGCCCGACGCTGTCGTTGGAGAACAACCTCAAAGATAAAAATCAACTAAACGCATTCTTGCGCGTGATTCACGGCGGCACCACACGGGCTTCCCTCAGCTTGGACCAAAAACACGCTTGGGGCCCTCACCTTCTAGCCCATTCTACCTACACTTGGTTGAGAGGCTCACCTCGACTACACACTCGCTCAACAGGGTGCAGAAAAACGAAAAACTGCGCGATTTTGCCACAAGGAAAAAGGATGTGGGACGCAACACATGAATACATGTAATATATATATATATGTATATTTGCTTTTTCCATCACTGACACCGAATTTTTATCAAGACAAGGGAATAAAAACCAAAACGTACGTTCTGAGGCACATAAAAAACCAGCCACCGGGGACGCCCATCGTGCCTACTTTCTCCCTCTTTACCTCCTCTGCTAACTGAATGCATTCAAATGGAACCCAAACATACTCTACACCCAACCTCTGCTTTCTACCTTGAAAAAATGCCACAACTGTTAAAATTTACCAAACCATTGCACCCCTGGACCTCGCTCAGCTATTGCCGCCTACCGTTGGTTTTGCCCCCACGGCCTAATGAAAAGGTACGTTAACAGTAGAGTAAGATGGGTGAGAACACACAAAGGAAAAAAATGATGCTCTCACCACGGGAAAAATCTGCGACGTCCTTAGTTTTCTGTGATTCGCAAAAACTGCCGGTGCACCATACGATGCACTCCTCTAAGCCTACCAAGCAACCGGGCGGGGTGTGAGACTGACACCACGACCACCGCCCTTGACAAGTATGCAGACGTCGGCCCTTGCGTTGTTGATACTCACCCCAGATCGAGGCGAATATTCAATGATGACTAATCCCCCAGCCCCCCCCCCCCCTTCCCCCACTTAAATGTAAGTAAAAAAAACTCCACGTCTTTGGCGGAAAAAACAGCGACATGATAAAACGCATTGACACAATCAGCAAAACGTGCACACGACGTTACGTTGTTCGAAACTCGACACCACAACATACCACCACCAGCAGGCAAGAAAATGATATTGATAAATGGACCGAAAACAAAAACAAAAACAAAAGTTAGAAAACAAAACAAGCGACACAGCAGCCAGACGGAAAACAAACAACCCTGTGTTGTAAGCCCAAGCCTTCCTGTATGTATTACGACAACAAGTTCCACAACCACACGGAAAGGTGTGCACTGCGGAGCAGAGGCTTACGCCGGAAGGACCAGCCCGGACAAAAAACGCCTAGAACACCCGCAGACGAACACGCACTAACTACACAGAACAGGGACGACGACGACGACGAGGGGCCCCAACGAGGCCAAGGAACTTGATTTTTCTAACGAAGGGTATTGTTTTTAAACACCAGCAGAAGCAACACAACGACAATTGAGTGTGGATGGATATTTGATATTTCATCCTCTTGTATCGTCGAGGCCACACACCGCGTCAAACGTAACCAACCGCGATCCAACTAACTACCCTCAACAAACATCTCTCAAGCACGGCATCTCGGAACTGGGGTTACGAACATCGCAGCCAAAACATCTGGAATACACATGCAGTCCATCAATCCATCCATCCACCCTTGGAAGAAACACATCTCCGCCGACTTCAACAAAGGCCAAATCCTCTCTAGGCCGGCACATACATACTTCCCGAAAAGCTCTAGAATTTTCCTGGTGGAGGGAGCACCGCGATTGTCTTCAGCAGCAGCCCACTCCACAACCATCGGACACAAAAAAACGATGACGAGGGGACCATAAAATTGATAGCGTACAGATTTCTCCAGCGGAGAGGGCCCAGCATGTGTCCTGCTTGCTGTACGGCTGTCCCCTTGCATTTCTCCCCCCAAACACAATCTCGACAAGAACAAACACTTTACACGCGCCTGCGATGCGCCCTCCCATGTAGATCGGTTCGCATCACCTGCGTTACCAACCACCGCGTGCAACACACCTACCTCTGATTGTTGCCAACGGGCACCACTAAACAGCGCGATGCCCGCCGACTCGCCCTGTTAACCTCCTCCACCACGAGACTACGCCAACACGATCGACGGCAAAAAAAAAACGGCAAGCCAAACAAGCAAAACACGGGGGGCTAGTTCACGTAACCTCGTGCCATGCTCCTTCCCGCCTTCGCCTCACGTCACCGCACGCCGTGCCGGCTGTTAACAAGCGATGACGTCACCCCTCGGCGGAGAAAAACACACTACCGCCGTCCCCACCGCCCAGGGACTCGGAGGAGGTGAGCGGCATCGTGCCGACCGAGTGGTGCGATCCCCTCCTCGTAGCCTTGGCCTCGGCGTGGCCGCCGCCACCTCCGCCGCCGCCCTCATCCCCTGTCCGCCCGTTCTGCATCTGGTGAGGCCACCCCTGCTGCCGGGCCCCGGCAGAGGTCGCCTGAAAAACCCCTTCCCCTGGAGAGCTCCACATCCCGGCGCCCCACCTATCCCCCTCCCCGGCGCCCGCCGCTATCATCGCGCCGTTGGTGCTGCTCCCCCCGCCGTCCCCGCTACCTGGGCCGCCGGGGACTCCTCCGCCAGGCCCGCCGGGCCTGGCAATGCCTTCGTCTTTGATGTCCATCTGGTCCTGCCGCTCGAACAAGGACGCCGTGAATGAGCGGCGCCGCACGTCGCTGGCCGGACCGGGGGCCGGGTCCGGCTGCGTCCTGTCCGGGAGCGGCAGGATGATCTCGCTGTTGTTGCGCCGCTCGACGAAGCCGGCGCGCCAGCGGTCGCGGGGCGAGCGGAGCGGCGTCGTGACGGGGGGCAGGGTCCGCAGCGGCTCCAACGTCGGCGGGATGGGGTCCACGATGCTCAGGTCCTCCATGGTGTCCGCGACGCTGCCCTGCGACCGGGTGCGGGTGTGGCGGAACGCGCGGTTGCGCGGGCTCGCCCACCTCGGGCTCGGCCCGGTGCTCGAAACGCTGCTGCGGGCGCTGTTTAGCCCTCCCCCGCTCATGACGCTCCCGATCGCGCTGCCCGGGCTGAAGACCCCGCTCGGGCTGAAGCCGACCCCGCTCCCGGGGCTCCGCCCGGCGCCCGACAGCCCGTACACGAACCCGTCGGGGCTGCGCACCGTCGACGCGACGCCCCCCGGGGATAGGGAGCGAGGGGGCCGAGGCGGGCCGCCCGAGCTGCTGCGCGGGACGGCGCGGTTTTGGAACTGCGGCTGCGCCAAGCGCTGGGCGTTCGAGCGGGGCGGCCGGTGGGGCGGGGGCAGGGCCGCGGACCCGGACGAGCCCGGCGGGGTGGGGATTCCCATGGCGCCGGGAGAAGGGGTCCCGCCGGAGGCGCCCAGGCTCATGATGTTCGGGGACGCCGGGGAGGACGCCTGCAGACCGGCCATGCTGCCGGTAAGGCCCGCCATGGTGCGCGAGCCGGGCTCCGGGGAGTGGCTGAACGAGCGCCTGCGGGGCGAACAGTGGCGCTTCACGGCCGGGTACATGGCGTGCGCCGACTGCGTCGAAGAGGGTTTCGTCCACTCCGCCCCCGGGCTGTCCCCGCGGGTAGAGTCGAGCAGGGGCGACTGCTGCCGACCGGCGATGCCCAGCACACCGGCCTCCGCCGGGTTCTTGAGCGGGGGCGGGCGGCGCGCCCCATGAGAGGAGCCGCGGGGCTGGGCCGACCACACCCACGGCTGAGGGTTGTGAGCGGCCGCCTTGCCGTCTTGGCCGACGCTGCCCGGCTCGCCGCCGGCCGCGCCTTCGTCGGTATTGCGGCGCTGGGTGCTCAGGAAGCTCTCGCCCCTGAAGCTGCCCGAGCTCGACGAGTTGCTCCCGAAGGTGCCGGTCGGCCCGCCCGGCGTGGGCTGGCCACCGGAGAAGCTCGCCCCGCCGGAGGAACCGGACGAGCCGGCCGCCTCCCACCGCGGGCGGTAGTCGGAGTAGGGCATGTCTTTGCCGGGCCAGGAGCCTGACGCCGGGGCGCGGTCGCGGGCGCGCTGCTGCTTCTGCTGCTCCTCGAGGGCGGCCGCCGCCGCAAGCCTCTCGCGCTGCGCGAGCATGAGCAGCGTGTAACCGGCCCTGCCGTCGCCGCGGTGGAGGGAGCAGAACTGCACGTGGGTGGCGTCGGTCGTGCCGCTGGGCTGCCGCTTGCAGCCGGGCGAGTCGCAGCGCCGGGAGACGACGTCGACCATGCCCTGTGATTGGTTCGTTCGTGATGGTCCGAGAGGAAGAGATCGGTCGCGTTGGATACATGCACGTCATTGTGGGACCAAGGCTTCTTTCTAAACATCGGCACGGAAAGGTAGACGCGAAGCTTTCGAAAGAAACACTCGAGCTATCTATGGACACGTACGCATGGTGCCCCGCGGGGCAGCCAGTGATGCAGAGCTCAACACGTCCAGAGCAACGTGACAGCTCAAACGCCTTCGGCAACAACTTTGTGAGTGCACGATACACGACCAACGCTGCTGACGCTAAGTGGTGAAACAAGAGACAAGCTTGCTAGAAACAATGTGAAACAACCGGGGAATCCAACCGCCCTGTGGGGGTCACACGGCTCTCACCCCTGATCGGTGCAGCGAGCAAAAGCGGCCCTTCTCCCCCTCGAAGCCAAACACGGGTCTCTTCTTGCAGCCTGGGTGCTGACATCGCTTGTTCACCACATCGACCATGCCGTCGCTCTGCATCATGCCCGTGGTGAGCGGACAAAAGGAGGCCAACAGCAATCGTTGAGCTTTCCATCTAGTTGAGGACATGAGCGTATAACCACTGCATGCATGTTACACCCACAGCCGCCCAGAAGACGAGCCTGGTGCTGTTGCCAGAGGACAGGTCATTGCCAAGGCTGGCTGGCTGGCTAGCCAGCGACGCCATCACCCGCAATAAAATACGTGGGTACACAAAATCTCCTCCGCGTATCTCTCAACTCTCCTCGTCATGTGGCACCAACCAACAAAGAACGTTTCAATGGGTAGGTCGACTTGAACGCTGTGTCAGTGGGCAAAAAGCCGAAAATTTCGAAGGAGCTGGTTCGGCACATCTTGTTCCAGCGTTCTGCTGCCTCTCTTTGCACTACTCGCTGCCACTGTTCGTTATCCTCTCGGGAGTGGCCTCTGTTTTACTCGTGGACGTTTCTTCGAAGAATTTTCCCGATGTTGGATTGCGGATATTTTCCTCCGCATCCAGGAGTTCCAAGGAAGGTGAGCGTGGGATCGACCGTCGACTTGCAGCAAAGGGCATATGCATAGTTGTCGGCGTGCTATGTAAATAGCTCACTGGACAAACGTTCGAAACTACGCAGGATGCCGTTGTTCATACTGATGGCCCCTGTCGTGACGATAAAACCGGTGTCCAGCACATCCCCTTACAACGACGAAGAAATACAACTTCAAACGTCACACGTTCAAGATGAGGTCAAAGTCCCGCCTTCTCCGAATTGTCGCAGCTGCTTCGTGCGTGGAAAACATCCCCGGATGGGACAAATGTAACGGTGGGGTAGAGGAAACCCCCCGACAAGAAACAACGGACTGAGACCATAACTCCGCTACGCCAACTTTCAATCCCGGGGGCATTCTGGTCTGCAACAGCAGTAAATAGTGGGGAGAGAACAAACTCTGCCTCGGCAAATAGCAAGAGATAACTCTTGCTGGATGTATGCTACAATATCTGTCGTTTGTTTTCCGTTTGAGCTTCCAGATCCATCCTACCCTCGTTTATTAGTACTGTCGCATTCGTGTTTTACGACGATTATCTTTGTCCGCCTGACACTACAATAGAGCTGGGATGGTGAATTCGCCGATGGTGAGTTTCGCATCTTCGATTCATTTTCGAATGTAGATTTGACTATCATAGGCTCTTCATGCATCCTACCTGCATGTTTCAGGGTGGACAAGTGTCTGAACGGTAGATCTACCGCAATAGGCAAGATATTTAGACAAGGTGTGCTGCGTATATCACAACATCCCAACATATTTGCGTGTTTCAGTGCATTGGGACTCAAAAATACAAGTTTTACAATTCGTGATTGCATCTGAATATGATCAGAGCAACAAGCAGGAGAACGAGAGGGAGGACGAGACCGACGCCACAACTGCTCGACACACCGTTCCGTGTTAGATGACAAAGTCCAAACAACGAGAGCACCGCCCTGCATACAAAGGATTGGACTCGCGGCGTGTGATCAAGGGGTGCTCCCTTGGATGTCTCCTAAAATCAGCCACAAAAATCGAGATCGACTGGCAGGCATGTTGGAACTTTTCACACCCCACGGTGACTAGGGTTATAGAGTTAAAACCACGTGATGTGGAATTTTCCGCGAAAATTTACACAAAACCGACATTTTTCACAACCACCGGCGGGCTGGCCTCCCGCGTCCCCGCCCCTGATTTTTTTAGGGGTTTCAGGTTTACCGGTTGTAGGGCATACTACACAAGATGTCCAAGGGATGACATCCAACAACTGGTGGAACTATGGTAGCTGCAGTGGTACTCGGGCGCCAACCTTGTGGTATGAGCAGAAGCGGCCCTTTTCTCCTTCGTGACCGTAAAGGGGTCGCCTCCGGCAGTCGGTCTCCTCGCATCGCCTGCTAACCACATCCACCATCCCGACGTCCTTGTGGGCCGCGCAGAACCTGTTGCCATCGCACAAGAGGAATAGACAGGGTTGTGAACATGCATTTGTACGTTGTGTCTTCCTTGCATGCGTATATGTAGCAGGAGAAGCATTATTAGGAAACATATGTTGCTAGGAGCATCATCACCTATGTCGCGCCAGCAGGACAAGTGGAACTTTTGGGGTTTTGCTGATTGGAGAATTGAAAGAGCCAGTTGTGCATTCAGAGCTGGCTCTTCGCACTTGCAAAGTCGTCTCTTGTTGTGTGAAGGTCAAGCCGGCGGGCACAGCAGCAGTACATAGTCCATGCCCGTTCGACGAACAACTAGACTACATGTGATACACTTCAATGCACAGCTCGAAGGGCACAATATTTCTCCCGATGGGGTCAACTTCGAACGTGTGATTGGTGGTTCTCTCGCCCAACAGACAACCGGCGGCCCTCGCCCATATGCATACATACGACGTACGACTATTGTACAGTAAAATGAAAAATCGAGAGATGTTAGCACGGAAAAAGGCGCAATACCCAACAGGCCGTGTGCTGTTATTTTTTCTTGCCAAACACATCTCGATAGCAGACTTGTACAAGAACGGGTTTCCACCGATGAGAGTTCAGTTCCCCGGGGTTACATCGACAAAGAATTCTCCTCTAAACCTGAGTGACTTTTTTTGGTGTGAAGACCACCACAACAATTTTTGGAGAGGAAAGAGAGTCGGCCAAGAAGCCGAAAGAACAAAGATTGTGGGCTAGCGCACAGAGAACCCTTGAGGTGCATTTTTCGGCACACTTTTGTGGCTCCCGAAATCGCATTACAAGTATGCATATGACGTGATCACTCGCCGCGTGCGTATTGAACTACAAGACGAACGAGGGTTTTATGCCATGTCGTGATACGGACCAGGACTACGGACCTATGTTGTTGCGTGCGGAAATTGGAGATTTGCAAACAAGCCACACACTGGTTCCAGCGCCAGAAAAAAAAAACACCTGCATGGCGGTGGTGTCGGCTACATGTTCAAACGTGTCAACACGTGTGCGCTGCTGTTGCTGACAGGCAGTTGCAGGTTTAGGCATGTACATGGTCAGGAAAATCACCCACGCTACGCGCTGGCTATCTTGCAGTGGGGCGTGGGGAAACAATCCTGCGCACATTGTTTTAGGTCGTGCAACAGGCAAAGCTTCTGTCGACGCTATTATTCAACGGATGGCATGGGCGATGGAATCTACGTCTCCAGCAGCCAGCAGCAGGCCATGCTGTTCCGAAAAATCGAGGCCAGACCGGAAGCCAACAAAATAAAGTCCAGACATCCACAGCAAAATGCCACGCCCGGAGCAACCCTCCTTCCCCCTTGCCTCAGATCATGCGAAAGACCGAACTATCCTTCCATGAGCTCACGCCCGTGGGGCGCGTGAAGGCACGCCGACCGGGGTAATTGGGACGGCAGCACCGGCGAGGCAGATCTGAGACAGATTTCGGCTCGGAATCCTAAAATAATCTGAAAAATCCATCGCGTCCCACACACGGGTGTGACCATTATCCCTCAATGGTGTCGACATCTCTCCGGCAAACAGAATTGAGTGGGGAAGAAAAAACCATGGCGGTGGGTGAGACGGCACGTGTCACCCTGCTGCTGCACCACAGGAGATTGGATGTCAACAGGAGCCACAGCGGGTGTAGAACCTAGAGGTCCACGAATAGGTTGTATCAACCCTGGCAATGGCAGGATTCATGGCCGCCCCCGTGTGTTCGTTCGCAAGTCCGGGGTCGGCAGATTCGGAGGGCCCGTAGACAGGGCATATGCGAACTCCACAAATAATTATTCAGATCCGAAAATGAAAGAGCCATGCTGTTGTTCCCCCAAACCTGGGTTTTTGGTGCTCGAACCCGAAGCTCGGTTGCCTGGTGCATGACGGCTCCTGACACCTACGGCTCCTGACGTCGACCATTCCTTCATCCTGCGCAATCGCAAACCGGAGAATGGGGGGGGGGTGGTTTCGAGGCGTTGCATCTCGTGTGCGGTGGGCGGCAGGCGGAGGAAAAAGCTCGCGGTGAATGAGCAACAATCATACACAATCAGCCCAGAAAAAGAAAAAATTGCCAAACCCCGCGTGCGTGCAGAAACTTTACCGACGTTGTTGCACACCCTTCGCTCGGGAAATGAGTTTCGAAGACGGACCCTTTCGCTTCTCTTTTTATCCACGCCACACAGCAGCGGGTCGGTAAAAGCGGGCTCACCCCTCCAACCGCCGCGGCGGCACCCACCTTGTGCTGGGAGCAGTACTTGGCCTTTTCTCCCTCGAACGCGTAGAGCGGCCACTTGGTGCACCCGATGTGCTCGCATCGCCTATGATTTTTCAGGGTGGTGGTGCCCGGCGTGTATCACGGCGGGAAAAAAAAATGTGTCTCATGTCACGAAAACGGAATCACGCACACACAATGGGCCACACGGGGCGAGAGAATGGCCGAGGAACCCGCACCCACATTTGCACAGCCACACCACAGGTCTGCTGCAATCTGTTCGAACCGCCCGCGCGAAGGCCTGGGTGCACCGGCTAGTTGGCAAAGATCCCGAGGTGTGCGGACACACACACCTCGAATGTTTCGCTCCGGGATAAGGAAGAATCAACGGGTTGAGCTCTCCATCCCTCTCGCGGCGCTCTCTCTTTGGGCAAGATAACAACAGCAGCAACACTTGCTGAAAGAATTACGCCGGGATCGAACACTTCCAGCACGCGCGAAAGACGCCGCAACCAAGCGCCCCGCGGGCAACGGCCTGTGAAAGCAAACACACCTGTGAGAGTCGTGCATGCTTGCTTTACCCTCCTCTCTTTGTCTCTCTCCGTCCTGTGTCTTGGGTCGTCTCGCTCGCTAGCTCTTCCCACTCCGGTGGTACGCGGCCTGTGCGTTGTGATAAAATTTGTTTTTTTTGCAGCAGCAGCACCGGCAGCACCAGCCAGTCGACGGGCACTCTAGGCAAGCTTGATCCTGGTCGAGTCTCGGCGCACACACCCGCGGATCTTCCCTCTGTTAGGGGATCGACCAGGCCGGGCCCTTTCCCTCTCGGGCACGGTGCGTTGGCGATGGATGCTGTTTGGTTGTCTGACCCTCAGGGGGCTCTTGTTGTTGTTCGGTTGTTGTGTTGCACAACAACAAATAGTCGAGACAAGTGTAGGCATACCCTCCCGTCCCCTTCCTCTCTGGGTGCGTGGCCCCCTCCGTCTTTTTGTCACCGCAAATATCTGTTCTACATCATCTTGTGATCGTAAGTGTCTCCACACCAACAAGTTTCGCATGGCTGTGTATTGACCCGTCCGCCGCGCATCGGGACCACCTCTTACTGCTGCTGCCATTTCCACAGCTCTCCTTCCCATCATGACTTGTCGCAAAATAGTCGGAGCCAAATCACACTCAGAATATGTGTGTCCAAGTCTCATATATGCAGAAGTAACGCACGCTTTCTTCGAAACACAAAATGCATTTCATGTCAAAATCCAGTGGATAGACTACAGGTCGCCAATATGTTCTATGACCTCCACCACCAGCAACAAGTACGGCCACACGCCTGCATTCTTCTTGCTTCTAATATCCGGATTGTAGCTATGTGGGGTTCATCAGTCGCAGAGTCACAGACGCGTACTGCTGGTGCAGATGATGGATCGCCAAAAAAAAAATGATGATTTCCATTTGCCCGCCATAGTCTCATCGGCATCCAGCATCATTCATGTGAGCTGCCTCCTCCTCCTCCTCCTCCTCTGCTGTGCTGTTCATTCGCACACACCTGATCTCCGTTCGTTACCAGCACCTTCCTCATCATGCTGCGTCTGGGCAGATTGCTGGGTCAGCGTCGACTTCTATCGTTCTACACGGCGGAATACGTGGAAGGCGATACAGCACACAAATCTGGACGGGTCCTTGGAAGGGTGACGCGGATTATCTATAGGCGTTGTTGTACTTCCCGAGCATATTCCCTGAGTGATCCACACGTCTGTTTTCGACTGGCATCTGTCCAAGCACACCACGCGACTTCACTTTCCCGCTAGATCAACGTAGGAAATAGCTGTAATGACCCTGTCACAAGTAGTAAGTAGGATACGGCATCCACAGCAGCAGCAGCAACATCAGCACCACGGCACTTCCATTCTTCAACTTCCACTAGACTGCAACTTGTCCGACCCACCCCTGCCATGCGCTCAGGTTCTCGAGCATGCTGTGAATGTGAAGCGGCTTCGGCCTGGTGATACTATTCGTATTCCCTATGAGGTTACGGTGGGATACGGGTGAGTGGTGTTTGTCAGGTTTAACGGTCGGATGCTTGCGAGCTGTACACTTCGGTTGTGTTGAAACAGAACAGATACTGGAAGGATCACTCCAACATGTACAATGTTGTTGTTGTTATCTTCACATTTTGAGTATGCATGCAGGTATGCATTGCATGTGTGCCCTCCTTCCACCTGGGGGAAATGGGTACCATTCTGATTACGCAGCGATCTCCAGATTCAGGTGTCACTGCTGCTGCCTCACCAGTGAACGAGATTATTAGCACAGTTTCAAAACGCCGCCTCTATGTGCGTGTCGGATTGGAACCGCAGCCCCGTAGATATAGTCTGCAGCACGGCAGCGGCAGCTTGAGAAATATGCTGCAGCTGCACTCACTGCTGGGGGTCGGCAGAGAGTCAGTCCGCAAAAACGTGTTTTCTTGAGAGAGATAGCCCCCCGCACCAATGGCGCCGGCCGGCCGGCTAAAGAGAACTGGCAGCCGCCGTGACTGTGACCCTCGACCTGGTCCTCCCAGTCACGGTCCCCTTAGAGTTTAGCCGAGGCCGGGGGCGAATTGTTGTTCCGGTGCGCGTGTCTCAGTCTTTCCACCGAAAACAGGTTCGGTTTTGAGACCAGTCCGAACAGGTCAGAGAGTCAGAGGCAGATCCATCCCTCCGTGTGTTTTTGTCGATCCTTTGCCTCGCGAAGACTTTCTCCCATGCATGGCAATTTGAAGTAGTAGATGCTGGGAGAGACCCGATATCGTGGCAGGTGCAAGCACAGAGGCGTTCGAAGGGTGGGCTGCTTATGCGTGCGTTGCAGGGGGCGTAAAACGGACGTAGCGGTAGTACAACAAGCAGTAGATATCTACTGCGGCTGTGGAGCTGTAGTCTACATGTTCTCGTTTTTCTCATGCCTTCCTCCTCTCAAAAGGCTTTCCTACCCGGCCGAGGACTTTCCGCCCCTAGGACTTTTCCTTTTGAATTCCCCATCCATTTCCTGTTTCCCCGCCAAGCAGCTTGTCCCCCTGGGCAATGTATCCGTGGGTCCGCGTCATATTGTCTATAGACCATTTTTCCTGCTCTCTCTCGTCGCTCCCGGTGGTACTCTGTGTGCTTGTCGTGGGGGGTGAGGGGGGTACTACTCATGTTTAACATGCCTTATCTTAGTGGTTAGACCGTTGACCACGCGTCTCTAGAAGGAGCATTGCGGCATTACTCGCGCTGGACCGATCACCGATCACCGATCACCGATGCCCAATCGTTCCTTCCTAAAATTTACTTCGCTAAATATCATGTTTCGTATCTTATCTAGACTACGTACATATCCTGTCGGTATCACTTCCTTCCTGCCTTTCAACTCACCTATTTCCCCCAGTCAGCTGCTCCTGGCTTATTCCATGCCTCAAAGCTTCTGGCTCATTCCATGCATCGAACATCTCTCTGCCACTTCCTTCTATATTTCCCCAGCTCAGTCATGTACACTTTTCTCCTTCGTAAAATCGGGCATCTGCAACTACGTGACAAAGCGGTCTTCGCACTGGGAGCCGCATTCACACTCCTTGAACTCATCGCCACCTTCGGATGCCTTCCTAGATCTTCGTCTGCGTTCGTTCACGAAAGCCAATGACAGCAGTCAATTCCAAATTTGACCTCCAGCTGAGCTCTGTTCCTAAATCTAACCCTCGTATTCGGTATTATCGCATTTGAAAATGCCAAGATACGGTAAAAGTAGTTCTAGCCTCAACCCTCGCGATGTGGGTACGATATCCAGCTGTCGTATGCTATCATATTCCGTATCATGCGATGTCGGTACGATATCCGGGTGTGTATCGGATATCCCCGATATGTCGATGCGATATGGGATACAACATGCGTGGTTCATGATGACCAGGGCGCACAAAGTTTGCTGGTTTTTTCGAGCTAAATTTCCGGGGGACTCCAGCGCGCGCCACACACCCACCAAGGAGTATCTCGATCGCACCTTGTGCACACACGCCACCGCTTTTCTTTCGCCCCAACTACGGTGTGTGTTTTGTAGCAAGCAGCCAAACGCTCGTGTACCTCACGCATCGACGCATTGACACACTACGAAAGGTGGGGAGTGATAGAAGCCTTAATCAATTCAATTCGCTTCTATAGACTGTGGGACTCGTCCAGTGACGATGAGGCTACTGACGACCATAATAGCATATACCTGGTATGCATAACCAAAAGAGAAAACAACGGCCTTTGAGGCAAAAATGAAATCCCTTCGCACCCGAAAGATCTTTTCGACATCCCATGTTCCATGTGGCTGGTTCAGTTGGTACGCTTACAACCTTGTGACGTTTGGGACATGCCACCAAGCCTTCACGTAGTGTATGTAACGGAACCCGGAGTGTTCTCGCCAATTGACAGTTTCGGACTAGAAAAAAAATCCGAAAAAAGCAAACATTTTTTTAGTTAAGCCGTCGTTCTGAGGATCGCTCCTGACAGTCTCGCCAGAACCCGCAACAAGGAAAAAAATTACAGATTTAAGAGCCGAGGGGGGCTTGGTTTTCACAAGAAAGTTGTGGAAAAATTTCACGATTTTTCGGTTTAGCAACTTTCTTTGAAGTAACGCAACACACGCACCACCGCACGCACACACAGCAGTCTGCTGAGAACATGTCAGCGCGGCCATAGAGAAGGCCAGCGCCCAGCGAAAGGCCTTAAAGTTGGCGCGCCTCCAACGCAAAACCAGCGAGGCTGCCTGGTCAGAAAGTTGGGTTTGTTTCCGGCTGGCTTGAGGTCAGCAACACGCCCGTCAGATTGAGGCAAGGGGGACGAAGAGCGCACGAACCTAGAGGTGGTGGCGACGCCACCAGCAAAGAAGAAGAGCAGATAGGAGGAAGAGCACGTAGTGGCTTCCTGGTGAAGGCGGGCGCGTCCTTCCACGCGCAAGAGTATTTTCTCTGGTGTAGAAAGAAGAGCGTTTGACTCGGATGTGCCTCCCGGTCCCAACCCCCCCGTCTTTCTCCCGAACGCTTGAAACGCGACATAGCACGTCGTTCAGAGGCTGTCGTCGGCCAGTGTACAGTAATCACTTCCTGTATCCGTACTGGTGTGGTGCGATTTCGTGTGCTGGGGTTGAGGGAGCCACGCAGACACGGACACGCGCACGCACGCACGCACACTCAACAGCAGCAGCAGTGAGAGCCCCTTCTCATCAAGCAAGGTGCACAGCTAGTCTAGCTGTCACGCAGCGCATCACAAAAAAACAACAGCACCTGCGGACAGGGGGAGTTCGTGGGAGGACTGTTGACCCACAGCCAATCACATGAAGCCGGTTAAATCTGAGATTTTTAACCTGCACGAAGTTTCCAAGAAACTTTTCTTAACTCAAAATCTGCTTCCTTGAACCGGAAAAATTGGAGCCCCAGTCCGAAACTGTGTAATGCATGTAGCAGCGCGCCCTTCATACGCACCCATCTGACATTTTGCGCGAGGTTCGTGCCTCATTGGCTGGGTGCTACTGCCGCAAACCAAGCACCTGTTGAGTGATCCAAAACGGAGACAATCGTGGAGAGGCGCTATCGTCGCCTATGTAAGCGTGAAGAGGAAACGTTTTATAGCAGCTGTTTCGGAAGCCCTTTTCCATGGGTTGAGCAACGAACGGCGTCGAGTTTTTTTGATTTTTTTCGGTAACATGTTCTTTGGTGCAGCAGCACAACAGCACCAAACAAACGTCTGCCGCGAATCGATTTCATTGCCCATCCAACCAAGGTACATGTACGGGGATAGTCTGTCAAAGGTCCGAATAAGCATTGGTGATAGGTAAACGCTTTTGTCCGATATCGCGGGCGACAGATTGAGCTATCCTACGATCGGTAAAACACCAACGACGCCAAAGAGAGCTCGCCGTCCATGTCATTCATCTCCAGGGTGTCCTCACCTGTCTGCACTCTCGACGATTCCCCGCCCACACTCCCCCGGACGCGGGCTACCTCTAAAGGGGTTACGGCGTAGTCTTCTGTCGCCTACTCTCCCCCTGGTGTGGGTGTAGCACCCTACGTAGACGGATGGACGTGATCGGAAATAGGAGGGGCGTAGGTCGTGTCTTTGGGTGTTGTTAGACAACAGTTGGCAGGCAGGCCGCGGGGGAGCCGGCTAGCGCTTGGAGGCAGACAACGCGAATACTACATGCTTTTCTCGGAGCGTTCTGTATCGGTGTGATATTTCGCGGGACTCGATCAGCCGCACGAAGAGCCAACCCTCGAGGTCATAGTTGGGAGCTACGGGAGAGCATCGACCTGAGGACTGGTGCACGTTCCACTTGGACAGCAATCGAGTGTGGCCGGCAACTTGTATTTTGCAGAGGATCCACGTCTTGGTGTTTTTTCACACAAGTGTACAGTACAAAAGCGAACGGGCGTGTGTGCGTGCGTGTGTACTCCCATCCATACAGGCTGCGGGACTTTTGGCAGGCTGCTTTCTCGACGCACGACAGGATTAACACATCCACGCCTTTCGCAAGATCTTTGGGGCTGCAAGATCAGGCATGTATGACACATACTGGGTTGTCCGCCGTAGTTAATACCCATACTCAATAGCGCCCGAGTCCCCCCGCGTGTAGTCGACATTCCATTGTACCGACAGACCTCCGCTCACGGTCGTGCCCCCCCCGAAGTTTAACGGCGAGGAGCATCACGATGAAAACCATGCCAAGCTGCAGTGCGGTTCTTCGGACCCCTTCCTAAGTTTTCGTAGGAGCTGCGTAGAACGTCGTCGGTGCCCTCCAATTGCCACGACGGTACGCCAAGTATTAAGGGGGGATGTTGGTTTCGCGCGTTCGTTTAATTCTCGTGATGCGTCCGTCCGTTTTCCTGTCGACGGCAGGTGCTGCCGTTCTCGCTGATGCTCTTCCTGTCTTCAAGCATGTCGCACGTGGAAGCTGCGATGACACAGGTGGCGTACCGGAACGCCAGGTACCTGTGGCCCGGCTTCGCAGGTAGTTTGTCTCTCCTTACAACACCGTGCCATGTGACTCAGCGTGCCTAGCCCCCAAGGGCGTTGGTTCCGAGATCTACGTGTTTGCGTGTTGTGTGTCCTGAAACGGCAGCCAAAGTGCCCATTGTCGAGAAAGTGTGTCTGGCTCTTGAAAAGGCCAGCTCAGGAGGCTGTGCCGTTCTACGGCGATTGCTTGCGGTTTGACGTGGTGCTCGGTCCAACTCGTCGTGCTCACGATACTCTTGAGGTTTTGTGAAGAATGTCTCAGCTTGTGCCGGAACGACAGACCATTGGTGGAGATTTTGTGATGGTTATTGCTGTTGTTAAAATGGAACCCCCGAGGGGAAACATTTGTTATATGTCTGAAACGGTAGACGGGGTTCAGTAGGGCCGGTTGAGTACTGCCGAGTGCACTATTGCGTCCGTGAAATCGCGTGACACAGATCAGATGGTCAAGTTATTTCATACGCTGGCTAGTTCCGGGACCCACTTTAGTGCCGGTAAAATTGGGTGGTACATAGCGGCACTTTTGAACGTCCCTACTGCTTCCCCTCGCAAAGGCACCTAGGCACGCCCAATCTCCGCTAGTGCATCACCCCCCCCTTCCTCTCCACCCCACTGCGTTGCCGTAAAATTTCACGCAGGGGACACATTTACCAAGACGTTCGAGATCAAGGGTATCCGCAACACGAGCGACAAGGAGAGAAGCACTTACGACTTTACCTGCCGCCTAGTGAACCAGCGCGGGAAGGTGTGCATGGAGTGCGACAGGACAACGATGTTTCCCTTCTTCGCCCCGCCTAGCCCGAGGGACTCCACGGCGACGCCGGAGGAGCAGCCGCCTCCCGAGCCTGCCGACAGGCTGCGTGACCACGTAGTGAAGCAGTCAGAAAAGCTGGGTGAGGCTTGCGTGGGGTTGGGTTTTGGTGCGGCTGCCGCCGTTCGTTTGCGCGGCAGGCGTCGCCGCCCGCGAGTACTTAGTACAGCAGTGCGGGCCCGCTCACAAGAAACGCCTACTCCTTAGCGAGGCTATTTTAAGCGAGGCCCAAACCTTGCTTTTTCCCCACCACTGAGGGGCCGTTATGATCGATTTCTTAGGGCATTTTCTTTTAAGTTTGTCCTAAATTCTGAGCCTCAGTTTCTTACAAACACAAGTGTCTCGTAGCGTGGAGCGTTTCGCCGGTGCAAAGTGCCGGTGTGGTGGAACAGGCTGAGGGCTTTGCGACGCTGCGACGACGGTGTCACCCGCACCCGTGTTATTGCTTTGCTGTTGTTGTTGTTTGTTTCGCACTGTGAACGCCTGGCTACATTCGCGGTGTTGCTCCGTGTCATCTTTGTTGACATGCGCGCGGCAGCCGAGCTGGGAGGGCAGACGCTCAGACGGTTCAGCGCGGGGCAACTCATCATCCACACCCCAGGTGAGGTGAAACTCCCCGAACCCGAAGCACACACCATGCTGCCCGTGGGGGCTGCCGACGCCCTAGTCGGCGATGACAAACGGAGAAATCGCCAAGCCTCGCGAACCTGTGTGTTGACGTTGCGCTCGAAGCGAGTCGGGGCGGAGTGTGTGCTAAAGAGATGATCATACAATCGCATCCTGGCCGGCCTATGTCCCACAAGATGCTGGAGGTTGCATCCGCGGCTGAGCTGTGCTTCGCTGTGGCTCTTCGCTGGCCTGGCTCAATCCGAATCCCCCCAACCAACCCGCTGGTTTTATGGTCAGTTTTGGAATTGAGCGCGCTCGACTGTCTTGGCGGTTCACGAACAGGAGTTTGCACTGTTGGTGGTCGTGCTGTCCTTCCTGGTTTAGCAATACAGCAAAAAGCAAGATTTTCCCTATCGTCTTAAATGTCTCCCCCCTCATCGGATCGAAGCGCAAGCGGCATGGTGTCAAGACCCTGGTTACGATAAGCGCTCGTTTCGATCAGAGAAGCTCGCGTACGGCATGGAGGATGTTGAAGTGTTGAAGTGTTGTTTTTCCGTGTGCTCGTCCTGAAGCCCATATATTTGTTTTCTTGTGCCCCCCCCCCCCCCCCCCCCCCCCCCCCCCCCCCCCCCCCCCCCC